GCTGTATACTTACCTCGGACTTGTGAGCGTCAGCCTGGGATGTTTCCAGCTCGAGCTGCACCGAATGCAGCTTGAACGTGTCCTCACCTGCACTCAAAGGTAGACACACATCCGCCATTAAAGCAAGTAACAGTGAGTAAAACAATGGTAATGTGTGTGAATAGAGTATTAGTAATGTAAGCGAGATTAGCGGCAACCACGCTGGCGATGCTAGCGGGCTATTTGCTAATAGCGGACTCGGGAAATCAAAATAAAACTAGTGATAACAAGGCGCTCTGATTGTTTTTGTTGTAGAATACGATAGGGGATATATTCACACGTTATAGAAACGAAAATTATGGTGTATAAAATTGATTTTAAGATAAAAAATTAGACGACAAAGAATTAACTTGACGGAGCTCAAACTCAAAACACACGGCAGCAACAAAACTGAATACTATATTTATTGATGATGTTTATTTTTTATACCTTTCAGTTGTAAATGTTTAAATATATATGTTAGCAAATAAGGTCATAGTATGTTGCTGGCTAATATAGATAAGGGTTTTGTTGAAATTGCAAGAATATATTCCATTATGCACTTAATTTAAAGAAATTAAAACTTTATTTCAGCAAGGATGCATTAAATTGATCAAAAGTGCTAGTAAATACTTTTACATTGTTAAATATTTTGAATAAATTATGTTCCTTTGAACTGTCTATTTATCAAAACATCCTGAAAAAAAGTATCACTGTTTCCACAAACTGTTTAATGAGTTTGAATTCGACATATTAGAATGATTTCTGAAGGACCATGTGACACTGAAGACTGAAGTAATGGCTGCTGAAAATTCAGCTTTGCCATGACTAATAAATTCGATTTTAAAATATATTAAAATATAAAAAACAGATATTTACATTTTTAATAATATTTCACAGTATTACTATTTTTACTGTGTTTTTGATCAAATAAATGCAGCTTGGTGAGCATAAGAGACTTTTTTCAAAAACATTAAAAAATCTTACCAACCTCAAACTTTTGAACACTACTGCAGTGTACATGAATTTATGAATTTATAGTACTTTGTCTTTATAGCTGTATTATTTACAGCTGTTATTGCAAATAAAACTGTTTGGTCGGGCCACTGAAAATGTTGGCAGGGCAAGTACAAATCATAGGCTACCTATTGGCCTGACTAGAGGTCGACCGATATGGGTTTTTCACTGGCCGATGCCGATAGAGATATGGCGGTTTCCCCGGTAACGGCTGTAATCAGATAAGCGCTACTTTATCAGGCATTACAGGAAAGAGAAATGAAAATGACATAGAAGCTTTTCTGAAGCCGGTCGGTTCTTTTCACAGATACATTCATATAAAAACACCCGCGCTGCATTTTAATTTTGAAACGTGCAGTGATCAGTTTATTCAACGAAGCAATAACTAAATGTATGGGAAACACTGGACACTTCTATAAGTCAAATGGCCAAGTGATAACAAAAATAAAAGAGTTCACACATATTACACAGCCTGCTGCTCATAACTGCTTAAGAGTGCATTGGCCACTAGCGATGACATCGTGGATGCTATTGTCGGACCTACACACACATTTCATGAGGAAAGTTATCGTGCACGTTATAATCAGCCCAGAAGTTTCGTCTGAATTGCATATGTTTCTACTTTCACATGCAAATGACTTGCACTTATGAATATGATAACGTTCCGGCATCAATTCTAGTAGGGTAAAACGTAATTACGCTTTAGAAACAATCTGTTTTGCCCTGCCATCATTAGCTGAAGCTGTGTGTGAACAAGAAGCGGCTGCAGAGTGTGAGTTGCTCCGTTTCACGCAGCCAGAGAGAGATTCTCCGGTGTTCCGCAACAACGCTTAGCTGCCCACAGATGCGCCTGCCTATAAATCGGCCTAATTTGCAGCACAATCGGCCGATGCCGATTAATTAAAAAATGCCAAAAATCGGCCAATTAATCGACCGGCTGAAAAAATCGACCGGCCGATCAATCGGTCGACCTCTAGGCCTGACTGGTCTGTCACAAAACTGTTCCTTAATCTCGACTTTAGTATAATGATGCCTTTCCATATGTAGTGTTTGGATATCATTTCTGTCATCCAGCTCCTGGATTTCTCACACTTGTTTTTATTTCCTAACCTATAATTCGACTCCACTCGCTAGCTTTGTTTTTTTTTTTTTTGCTTCCTCCTCTTTCGTCTGCTTATTTCTGCCTGTGTCATTATAGCTGCGGATGTCATTATGTCTGTCTCTTAGAGATAGATGACTTTGTAGCACCGTGTGTGGACTAAATACAGGCTGGGTAGTCTTCAGAACGAGCCAATGAGAAGCTTGAGTTCAGAGTCAGACCATTAAGCGGTTGATGTTTGGCAGTCAAAGGTTTTTATAATGAACTGTATGATCTCGAACCCTGTCTTTTTAACAGCTTGTCTGTGTATTTGTTTTCATTTTGAGCAGAGCTAATGGGGAGATCGCACAGTCGGACTCAAAGCTAGAGCGCTCAAGACCAGACTGTCTACTTCCATCGTGTCGGCGACTCCGTACTGTCGTGTTGGATGCAGCTTAATAAGCAGAAGAAGAGAAAGAAAGGATTTCTCTCGCTCCAGTGGACTAGATTGTATTCGGAATGATGAAAAAGTGAACTTTAATAGTTCCAGAAACCAAAGAAACAAGTGAGGCGGACAGATATATTTTGTGGGAGACTTCAGGCGGAAGTAGGCGCCAACATTTCCCGCGTGGCATCATTGGTCGGGTAAGAAAACAGGTCTACCTGTAGGATGACCAGCCTTTTCCGACGCAGCAGCAGTAATGGAGGGTCTCGGGATGGTGGGGGCTCGGCTACAGGTGAGCTCAACAACTCCAGGCCCAACCGGCAAGTTCGACGGCTGGAGTTCAACCAGGCCATGGAGGACTTTAAAACCATGTTCCCTAGCATGGACTATGAGGTGATCGAGTGCGTACTGCGCTCCAATAATGGGGCTGTGGATGCCACCATCGACCAACTCCTGCAGATGAGCATTGATGGACAAGGCTCAGATGACAGTTCGGACTCAGACGACAGCATCCCAGCAGAGGTCAGTGTCTTTTAAAGTACTTGTTGTAACACTTATTGCACATATTATCGCATTTTTTCAGTGGAAGACAAAAAGTGACATTTTAATATATATACATTAAAAAAAATGGTCCATACAGCTTATGCTCTATATTAGTGTTTATTATATAAGTTTTCTTTAGTCATACCATAGTTTTTGCATCAGAAACAGACTGAAATTGAAGCTAAGTTTTGTTGCATTCATTCACACATTATTTTAAGTGGGGTGTAGTAATCAATATGTTTTTCACCCACAATCCTCTTACACCTGACTGCTCGGATAAGAAAGTGTGTCAGTACTGGGCCCCGAGATGGATCTGAGAAACATTACAATCTGTCTGTGTCTCCATAACCATCTGCTTCATGGCCCAGTGGAGATGCTCTGCCATTAGACTTTGATGTGATCCTAAGTGAAGCATAAACTGCAGTGCATTTTGTTTATACGTTCTGCCATGATTCTTCGCTTTTAAGGACATTCCCCATTGGTGTATTTTTTTTCTCTTGCATTATTTATAATATTATGTTTAGATGGGGATGTGTTGAAAACAGTATGTACTGTACTGCATATGCTATTAGTATGAAAATCACAGCAAACATTGCCCAAAAATACAATAAAAAAAATGATAGCTGATACAGATGTCTAATATATAGCCTACATTTAATTAAATGTAATAATTAATTTTTTTATTTAATATTCTGTTTAATTGAATTTAATGTAATTTTTATTCAAATATTAACCAATTAATTAAAACAATGGCTTTTAAAGACATTACATTTTTAGTTATTTTTTGTTTTAATGTCAACTTGAATATCTTAAAACAATATGTACGCATGCTGTACTGCATATGCAGTTTGTATGAAAATTTCAGCAAATATTAACCAATAAAAAGTACAATTATTATTTTATTTACAATTAAACAATTAAATTAAAAGAATGTCTTTCAAGTAAAGATGTTAGGCTTTTTTTTTTTTTCATTTGTAATTTTTATTTTAGTATCAGTTTGGACATGTTGACTCTGCTATATGTTCTGTTTATATGAAAATCAGAGCAAACATTGATCTGAGATACAATAAAAATAAAGAAAAAATAGTATTCATTACATCGTGTACAGAAGATAAATTAGAATTGTTAAATGTCATGATACCAGAATTTCACTAGCTAATGCTAATAGCAGTAATTTGATTTAATTTAATTATGAGCAAATTAAATTAAAGCGATAGCAAAGATTAGTCTAGTTTTATTTAATTGTCAACTTACCAAAGAACCAGTGTTTTTTTACATTCCTTCTACAATTAACGGTTTTATCAGCTGGCCACTATTAAATATGTGAATGGATCTGTGCAATAGAAATATAATTTGGTCTTTTTTTCGCGCTAAAAGTTTAATGTTACTGCTACTTGCATTTGTTTTCTCTTGTGCTTTTACCAGATTCTTGAGCGGACCCTTGAGCCAGACAGCTCAGACGAAGAGCCGCCCCCTGTCTACTCGCCACCAACATATGACATGCACATATATGACAGGAAATATCCGGATGCTCCTCCTGTTCCTCCACCCAGGTTATAAAAAGCACTTTGATGTTCTTGACTTATCTTTCTTTCCATTTTCCACAAAAAAATGAGTTTGAGAGCAGTTTTAAATGAATTACTGAAACATTAGTTTAATTACATGAAACATGTAATAGGGTCATCATGGGTCTCAAGATCCTTATTCATTTTAGTCACATTCTCTAAATGATGCCCCCTGGTGTTCATTAACCTAACTGCAATTCTTGGCGATCCTTGTGTATGTGGTTTAATATACAATGTGCATGTAATTCCATTTATAGTACGGATAATAATACCCATGAATTCACAAACATTAAAAAGGTTAGACACATCTGTAAATGAATTATGTGTAATCTGAAATTTAATCTGTAATTGTATTATAACTCTGATGTGAGTACTGAGAGTTGTCAGTGTCACTGGGTTCTGTTATCTTTCAGATTTGAGGCCCAACCTCCTCCTGGACACAGACAAGTGCAAGGTTACAAAAACTGGAACCCACCGTTACTTGGCAATCTGCCTGACGACTTCCTGCGAATCTTGCCCCAACAGTTGGACAGTGTACAGGTGAGCATTTATCATGTACTGCAGAAATGGCTAAATTCGGTAAGATTGCTATTTTTCATTTATTTATTTAATTTTGAGATATTAAGTAATATTTTGAGAAATTATTAGAAATTAATACCTTTATTCAGCAAGGATGCATTAAATTGATCAAAAGTGACCACAGAGATATTTACAGTGTAACAGAATATTTCTATTTCAAATTAATTGTTATTTTGAACTGTCTGTTAATCAGAGAGTTAAATCCTGAAAAAAAAATGTATCACACTTTCCAAAAAATATTGAGCAGCAACTTTTTTCAACATAATAGTAAGTGATTTCTGAAGAATCATGTGACACTGAAGTAAAATTCAACTTTGTCATCAAAGGAATAAATTAGTTTAAAATACTTTAAAAAAGAAAGCAGTTATTTTAAATTGTATTTAACTTGTTTTATACAAAATGTACTTGATTTTGCTCCAGCTCTTTTTTCTTTTTCAATGATATTAAAGAACCATTAATAGTTCAATGAGTTCCAGGAGTTTGATCATTAAAACAAGCTTATGCAATACTGAAGTGCAGCAGGGAGGCCATTGTGCAGTTGCTTTTAAGATCTTATGCCATATCATGCTTTCTGAATGGCTAATTGAACTATAATGGCATCCTTGTTCTATTGTACATATACTAGGGGTGCTCCGATTGATCGGCTACTGATCGCTATCGGCCGATAATTGTTTTGGGAAGTTTGATCGGCGGCTTCTATAAAGGCCGATCTCATAAACCGATCTCAAGCTGACGACATGCCTGCCGTGAAAGGTTTGGCATGACGTGCAGTGGCCGCGTCTCAATCTCTGTCTGGCGAGGGTAAAATAATTATAATGCTTGAGGTACAATTCATATTTCTTCAGTAAATAACTTACAAAGTAATTTAAAAGCTTTCTGTGAGACGTAATTTCACAAACAGCATGAGTGAATCACCGCACGCTCTCTCTTTCCCTATCAAAATCCCTATCCCAAATGCAATTGGCTTCAAATCACCACATTGCATCTGCACTATAAGTGAGCTGCACACTACACATGACACAGGAAATGTCACTTGCACAATAAAGGGAGTGTCGCATCCAGGGCTGGACTGGGACAAAAAATCGGCCCTGGCATTTTTTGGTCCAAGCGGCCCACCAACACTTCGAGATATATATATATATATATATATATATATAT